TGTGGGCAAGGCGAATCCCCAAGGCTTTGGGCCTCTCCGGCACGATTGGCAGGCTGGCGTCCTGCCTTGCTGCCGGCCCATCAGCAGGCGAGGGAACTGGGCCGCGAGAGCCATCTCCCCCTGGACAAGGGGCCATTCTCTGCGGCGCCGCCGCGGGATGCGTCACTGCCCAGGCATCCGGCAGATGCTCTCCTGCGGTGGGGGGGAGCGTCCTGGGGAGAGGACAGCTCTGCAGTCCCGCCGACGCCTTAAGGATGGCCCCTGCCCTTGTCATGCACGGACCAGCTGTGCTCCTTCCAGCCCTTCTCTCCCACTTACGTCCTTACTCTTTCCGCCAGCTTTGCATGACTCCTTGTCTGCCTCAGTCTACCCAGGGGCATCTTTGCTGCTCCTTTTCTGATGTCCAGCTGCTAACTGACTGCCAGAGATGTCTAGGAGGAGAGAGAAATAAGTGATGGAGGGGTGTGCATACGTGTTTGGACTGAGGAAGTGGATCCCAGCCCTCACTGGCAATTAAATAGGGATACTTGGTTGTTCAGTGGGTGTGCTAAAGAAGATGCATGCCTGAAAGAAATGCATACCTGGTAAACAAGGAACGGGCTACCTGATGAAGCGTTTTGAGCCCCTTGGTAAAGAGGGATGAAAGACAAACCAGAAAAAGAGTTGAGAGAGAGACAGACAGAAAGGTGACTGCAGGAATGGAGCATCCTCCATGGATCAGAGAGGTTACAGCTAGACTCTACCCACTCTAAAGGACCAGAAGGGGCTTCAGAGAGATGAAGACACCGAGGCAAGGAAATGCTAGGAAGCAGGTTTTTATTTGTCTGGTTCCATACAGAACTTTTGCTAGCTAAGATTGAAAGCGGTGGCTCAGCCATGCAACCAGCATACTGCTTCCACTCCGGACGGCCAGGAAGGCATTTGTTCCTTGCAGGGATGCAGGGCATAAATACCTATGCAGCAGCACAGTGCACAGGGGCAGTCACCAGCACCTTAGCCCGTATCTGGAGAGCGCATAATCCTCTGCCAGAGCATCCCAGCCACCTGCACTGAGAGTGGCTTCGCTCTGGCCTGTGGAGTCCCTGAGATGAGGAGCCAGCAGTAGCTAGGGAAGACTTGGAGAGGAACTTCTTTGTATGCTAAGGAGAGGGAAGAAATAGTAGCCATGGCTGCTTCAAAAACCAGCAAGGAGCTATGGGCACCCTCTCCAGCACACAGGCCCTTTTAGTATTAAACTGGCAGAGGTAAGCTTCAGGTGGAGTCATTCCTGGTATCCAATCTTTCTCTTACCAATAAGTCATCTCTGGTGCAGACTGAGCTGTGGGCTGCAAAGTCCTTTTACCTTGAGAAGGGGGAGATCAGCAAGCATGTTTTCAGCATGGCGAGAGGAACAAGCTGGCTCCAAGGAATAAAACATCAGGGCCAAGAGGGGATGTGGCCTAGCACTAGAGCAGGCATACAAGCTCATGGGACTCCAGTGCCTTAAATCTTGGGTTTGGTATTGAAAAGTAGGTACTGATGTAATCTTTCCAGATTATATCTGCTTTCCAGCTCTGTGCCTGACTCACTATAGGACTGGGATTAATTCCCTTCACCCCCTCCCCCCAAGCTGTGCTTTTGCCCAAATATGAAATGAGGCTAAGGAGCCTGACCTTGCAGATGGGGAAGGGGGCTTGGTAAATCTCTGGATCTTTAGCACAAAAATCTGTCTCTTTACAATGAGTCCCAACAGTTTGGCAGACAAGCCCTGCCCCCCTTTCAGCTGAGTGCTGGGATGTTGCAAGCATCTGGCTCGTACAGTAGCGCGAGTAACTACTCCTGCTGTTACCTGCGCTTGTTCCCTAGAAAGGAACAAGTTCCTGCAGAAGGCACACACTGAAGCCTCTTTGTTCCCCAGGGTTTTTTCCATTCCCCACCTCTCGCTACTATCCCTGAGCTGTGTAACCCACAGACCCGATGCCCCTGGGAACACACAGGAACACCCCTGCACGGGGCCTGCACCTCCTCTTCTCCCACGCGATTGAATGACATGGGATTTCCCCGTAGGCGTTGCAGGGTGAGAGGTTCACCTCTGCTAGGGCAGAGCTTTGTCCTAAGGTAAGGCTCTCCAGGGAATAAGATCTCTGTTCTCTTCCATCCCTACGGTGCCTGCCACTGATTAAATTTTCATCCCCACAGACTCCAGCTTGCTTAGGCAAGGAGACACTGCAAGAGCCCTCTGCGTGATAAGGAAGTATTCCTACTGGGGCTGTACTGGTGGGGAAATCAAGGCGTTGAGAGAGGAAGTGACTTGCCCATGGTCATTCACGAGACTCCAGAGTCTCAGCACCAGGCCAAGTGCTGTAACCACTGCCTCCCTGACAAAAGGGGAAAAACTCCCTCGCGGGACAGCGTAAACCCTAACGTAGCTGCAGCAAAGCCTTTGGCTCCTGCTTCCTTCACTGAGGTGCTTCTGGCTGCCCATAACACTGCTGGGGTCCCTGCGGGGGGATGCAGGCGGTGCACAGCGGGGCAGTGTGTGTTTAAGAGCCCTCTGACCCTTGCACGCACGAAGGTCGGGAGGGTGGGAGGCTGCAGAAGGCCAGTCCCAAGGGGCTTACATCACCCCTGATCCCTGCAGCTCCTGGGCCTGGAGCAGGGCCGCTGAGGAGCTGTTTCTGATTTAGGCACGTGGTATCTCTGTTGAGGCGCAGCCAGCCCTCTTTCCTCATGCGTCGCTGGCTCCCCAAGAGAAATCTACAGGGCTGGGAAAGGTCACCCTGCCTGAACTAATTGCAGCTGCCCTTGGATGGGACTCTCTGGGCAAGGGAGAGCTTGCATGAGGCATCTGGAAGACGGAAAGGAGAGGAAAGCAGTAGCTTTCAGTCCCTTATGCCTGTTCATTCTCCTAAATTCTGCTTGATCCAGAGCCAAGAGTAGGGCCTTGGCAGAGTTTTTGAAGGGAACAAGGGAAGGAAACGAAGCCAGACAGCCACCAGGAGCAAAACAAAGGTTAGACACAGGAGGGAAGCGGAAGGGCACAGACATGAGACGTGAACCTTCCTGCCTGCCCCCTCGCACTGGCTGGCTTGCAGTCCACCGGCCTGCAGGGCCCTGGCTGCATGCCCCAAGCCAGCCCGACATGCAGAGCGCAGCTGGAGGGCACGGGCCACGCTGGTTACCAGCCTGTCCTGCAGCCTCACATGCAGCCCGGTCACAGCTCTTCCTCTGGATAATGCCCTGCAGGCTCCCAATGCCCCATCGCCTCCTCTGTGCTTCATGTTTCGGGGCATCCTTTGCCCTCTCTCTCCTTGGCAATCTGCTTTGTGTGCATTCCTGTCTCTCGTGGGAGCAGGGTGGCAATTGCTGGGACGGGGAGGGAATGACAGACAGGCATATTTGGGACCTGGCTGCCTGTTCAGGGGTTTCAATGAGGCGTTGTAGTGAAACAGGACCCTGCCTTGCCAGCCCACATTACTGTGGTGGGCAGATGTTGTTCCTCCCTCACCCCCCTTCCTCCCCAGTGCTGTCACCCCGACAAATGGGGTCCTGGCCTTTAGGGCAGTATCACTTACAGGGAGCATGTGTCTGGCCTGAGCTGGAAGGAGGGGGCGTTTAAATGGGCAGTCGGGAGATTTTTGTTGTCCCTCACCGTGCAGATTTTCATGACATTGGGGCTGGAGGCAAGTCTGCGCGGCGGGAGCCGAGCAGTAAAGGCTCCTCTTGGAGAAAACAGAGCGGCGTCCGGCAGGAGGAAGGATCCCGAGGACGGTAAGGGTCACTGGAGTTGCATCCGTTCCCAGCAGGAGAGCGGCTCTCCCCCTCGTGCTTTTCCCCCTGAGCGGCCCCTGGCAGCCCCACGCTCCCACCGCGGTGTGGGGCTGCCCCGTGGGCCACCGACCCTCGAGCACGGCGCTCGGGCACCCACGGCCGCCTGGCTCCAGCGCTGTCCCGTTTGGGGATGGGGGTTTG